TCATTATGAGTCTTTTCACTAAGAGAACAAAAGCGACTTCCAACATGTGGTTTGCACCAAAACGTGGTAAAACAAACGGTTCTCAATTCTCTCCTCACGTTTCGACGCCTTTGATCTATACCTAAACTAGGCATGACTAACGATCTTCAATGTTTCAACAAGGTGGAACAGTGTGGCGGAACAATGGAACAGTAATGGTGGAACTGTGTGGTGGAAAAGTGGAACAGTGGTAGTGGAAAAGTGGAAAAGTGTGGTGAAACAGTCGAACAGTCATAGTGGAACAGTCGAACAGTGACGGTACAAAATGGGTGGTAGAACAGTACAACAGTGATGGTGGAACAGTGTCGTTAAACAATAGAACGGTGATGATGGAACTGTCTGGTGGAACAATGGAACACTGATGAAACAACACCGTGGTAGTCCAGTGGAACAGTAATGGTGGAACAGTGTGGTGGAACAGTGAAACAGTGATAGTGGAAAAGAATTGTGGAACAGTGATGGTGGAACAGTGTGGTGGAACAATAGAACAGTCATGGTGGAACAGTGTGGTGGAACAGTGGAAAAATGACCCTACAACAGTGCAACAGTGATAGTGGAACAGTCTGGTGGAAGAGTAAAACAGTGATGGTGGAACAGTGTAGTGGAGCAGTGGAACAGTGTTGGTGGAACAGTGTGGTGCAACAGTGGAAAAGTGATAGTGGAACAGTGAAACAGTGTGCTGGAACAGTGGAATAGTCATGGTGGAACAGTGTGATGGAACAGTCGAACAGTGATAGTGGAACAGTGTGGTAAAAGAGTGAAAGAGTGAAATAATGATAGGGGAACTGTGGAACAGTGATGGTGGAATTGTGGAACAGTGAACAGTGGAACAATGATGATGGAACAGTGTCGTGGAACAGTGCAAAAGTAATAAAGGAACAGTGTGGTGAAACAGTGGAACAGTGATGGTGGAACAGTGTGGTGGAACAGTGAAACGGTGATGGTGGAACAGTGGAAGAGTGTTGGTGGAACAGTGTGATGAAAAAGTGGAACAGTGATGGTGGAACAGTAGAACAGTGTGGTGGAACAGAGGAACAGTGATGGCGGAACAGTGTGGTGGTAGAGTGGAAAAGTTATGATGGAACAGTGTGGTGGAACAGTGGCACAGTGAGGGTGGAACAGTGTCGTGGAACAGTAATGGAGGAACTGGGTGGTGGAACAGTGGAACTGATAGTGGAACAGTGTTGGTGAAACAGTGCAAAAGTAATAAAGCAACAGTGTGGTGAAACAGTGGAACAGTGATGGTGGAAAAGTGTGGTGGAACAGTGAAACGGTGATAGTGGAAAAGTGGAAGAGTGTTGGTGGAACAGTGTGATGAAAAAGTGGAACAGTGATGGTGGAACAGTAGAGCAGTGTGGTGGAACAGAGGAAAAGTGATGGCGGAACAGTGTGGTGGTAGAGTGGAACAGTTATGATGGAACAGTGTGGTGGAACAGTGAGGGTGGAACAGTGTCGTGGAACAGTAGTGGAGGAACTGGGTGGTGGAACAGGGGAACAGTGTTGGGGAACCGGGGGGGGGAGAGGTGTGGAGGGAATAGTGTGAAGGAACAGTGGAGAGAGGAAAGGGGAGAGGCGTGGAGGGAGGGAGGAGGAGGGACAGAGG